ACTGAGTAACCCATGTTGCACTTAGCACATGGCACCAACGTAGCTGTAAAGGAGCAAGATTTACAATTTGGAGTACTTTGTGACTCAGAAACAATGACACAACCAGAAGACCCTTTTCATATCCTTTTCCAAAACACAGACTTTGGAGCAATTGAGATAGCTGACCCTCCCACCTCTCCACCCCGGGATACACAATTGGAGTGAAGGAGGCTTAGCCAGACCTCAACTATTTCATTCCTTGGCTAACATCCCAGCAGATGCCGATGTTTTGACAGCCCCACTTGATTTGACTTCATTATTGATTCTGAATGATGTGTTCACTGGCAGCCTGTCCAGTGGGTTAAACCAGCTATGGAGCGCTGAGGGTTCCCTCAGCCTTTGATGTGGGATGAAAAAGAAGCATAACTCTTACACCAGCCCTGATATCCCAGCCTTATAGATACAGATGCAAGAGTGGAAGGAAAAGTTTTATGGGAAAGAAATCACTTTGCCTTCTGGTTGGGAAGGGAACGCTCAGGAAATCTCCATACTTTCCACTCAGTTTTAAATTAGGAAATTTGGGCATTGCATTGGTGGAGAGCGGAAGGTTAAGAATTGCTACTCAGGCCTGCAATAAATGTTCCTGTCTGGATTATACCTGTTCCAGATATCAGCCATTCATTGCATTCAGTGCATCGCATCACATCCAGTGGTGGGATTCAAATATGTGAACAACCGGATGTGTGGATGCCGCTTCCAGAAGTCCATTCTGGGCCTGGGCAACAAACAATTAGCTACCGGTTCTGCTGAAGTGATGTGAACCGGCTGAATCCCACCACTGATTGCATCCCATCCCATTCTCCTTTGAATTTTCTCCAGGATATGCAAAGAGGTATAAGAGTGAAGAGAAGAGGAATAAAGATGATAAGGGATCTGGAGGCTAAACAATACGATGAATGATTGAGGAAACTAGGTATGTCTAACCTAAGAAAGAGAAGGGCCAGGGGTGATGTGATAACAGTCTTCTAATACTAGACAGCTGCCAAGTGCCTGAATTCTGGTCACATGATTCTGGGGATGCTTTGATGGTCGTAAATATGAGGAGCAGTTACAAGTCACTTTTTTCAGTGCTGTTATAACTTTTATTGGTCACTAAATGAATGGCTGTAAGTCAAGGACTACCTATATTCCAGCAGGAAGAACCTGTGCAAAGTGGGTGGGGCTAAACAGAAAAATCCACCTTTCTGTCTGGTCTTCCCTTTTTAATCTCTCTTTCTCTCTGCACAGCTTTTTCCTCCCACTGAGTAGGAAGAGCCTGCTGGAAAGGTTGGACTTTTTTTCTCCCAAAAATCTGGTATGAACTTTGGCAAAGGATGTTCACCCATGAATTAAAGGATACTTGGTAACTCGTTTTCTGGGGAAGAGGGCAATGTGTAATTTATTTATGTAATTGAAGGGAATATATTTAGACTTCTGGCCTTCAGTGATATTTACTCCCATGTAATTACATGGTCAAGTTTCAGCCTGCAGTATTTTCCCACGAAAGAGCAGTGAATAGGGCAAAGATGGCAAAAATAAAAAAATAAAAAAAAATAGTATCCCGTTCTTTCTTTTGAAATCAGGCTTGAAACAAAAGGGTTGTTTTTTTATACATCCCTGATGATGGTTAACTGAGGGCATGGCAAAGAATCTGGAAAAATGCAAAAGGAATGTAGCGAGAAGCATTCAGAATTCAATTCAAGAAGATAAAATGTAAAGAGAAGAAAAAAAATAAGGCATTTTTATTTATTTGTTTGGTCTTAAGTTTAGATCTATAATAACCTGATATCTGATGTGGTTGATACCACAGCAAGAGCAGCAGCATCTGGAAAGGCCTATAGTCCAAATAATTTCATGTTTTCCCATCTGGAAATGCTTGTTGGATGAGATTGGTCAGAAGGAACTCTCAAATTTCCTGAGTATTTCCATCCTCTTGGAATTTCCTTCTTCCTTCCTTCCTTCCCCATTCCATCTCTCCTTCTATTTACTTGTGGTGCTAAAGGGAAACAATCACACCCAATAGCTCAATCAAATGGATCACTAGTACGATTTAAATCTCTTTACAAACATTCATCTGCCTCTAAGGCCCAGAGCTTCTCCCCCCCCCGCTCCCCCCAGCCAGATGAGGCTCCCTCGATGAAAAACGGCTGGCCTCTTCCCAGTGCAGAAGATCATCTGCATTAGCAACTGCACTCGGTTCTGGGAAACTGCTGCAGACGGAGGCCTGTTTTAAGCCATAAAAGTTTTTACTCTTTCACTCTCCAAAAATAACATCACTGTGATGTTTTTCTGCAAATCTAGCTTTAATTCTAGTGTTCCTCCAAGGCCAAGGCGTATGCAGCGTTCCCCCCTTCAGTTTCCTGCACACTAATATTCCTAGGAAGTCAGGAAGTGAGCTGTTGGCCTAAAAATCACTGTGTGATCACAATTACTGTCATGAATACATGCCAGTTGCCAAACGTCCGAATTTTGATCATGCGACTACAGGGATGATATATGGGCTGTGTGAAAAATGATCCTTTTTCCCCCAACGCCATTGTAACTTTGAACGGTCGCTAAATGAATGATTATAAATTGAGGACTACTTTTATATAATATTGTTAATGCATATAAATGTATGTTTCTTAAGAATCAATAAAAAATAAGGAACGGTCAAGACATAGAACGTATATATAGCATGCTCACATTTAGTCTAATAGTTCTGGCTTTGTTGCAAAAGCCGGTCTCGGACTGAAATTCAAATATCCCTCCTCTCAGCTGTTTGGTGCGTAGAACCTGCTGCGCTACGTGCAGTCGCACATCGGCTGTAGGTGTCCTTGTGAGAGGGGTGCAATCAGCATGGTCGTTTTACTCTCTCGTGCTCAGCTGTGGTGAGTCTGGCTCTGATGTGCGAGCCAGTAGATGTCCTCGTGGGACATAAGTAGATGGCACGAGGACATCTACTGGCTCACACATTAGAGCCAGACTCACCACAGTGAGCGAGTGTGTTGTGAGCATGCTATATATACGTTCTATGTATTGACTGTTAAAAACAGTCACACAAGCACACATGTAGGTCCTCCTTTATTCTCAGCCCTTACTCTGATGATGTCAACAGCTAGTTGATGAAAGCTCAGTAATAAAAGACTATTCTACATCCCGGAGTTCATTATTTCTTATTGATTCTTAAGAAACATGTCTACACCTGGGATTCAAATATTCAGAACAATCAAAAATAAATGTATATGTATATAAATCACATTTTTCGTGGGGCTGCATTATTAGCTGTTCAGGATCTCAGGTGGCCTGTGGACCATGGGCTGGACATGCCTGCTTTAAAAGATGGATTTTTTGTTTTTTGTACCTTCGACTCAATCTTGACTTCTAGCAACTGCTTGGAAAAAAATCCCTGACATTTTCTTGGCAAGATTTTCAGAAGTGGTTTGCCATTGTCTCCTTCCTAAGCTAATGAGAATGACTGGCCTAAGGTCACCCAGTTGGTTTTGTGCCTAAGGCAGGACCAGAACTCACAGTTTTCTGGCTCCTGGCCTGGTGCCTTAACACCAATCTGGCTCTTTTTTAACAGTTTGGGACCCCGATACTTAAGGAAATATAGCTCTATGAACCTATCCTAACACTAGGTTTTGTGGAATGGCTCTGATCATAGGATTATAGGGTTTCCTGCCTGCGCAGGGGAGTTGGATTAGATGACCTCCAAGGTCCCTTACAACATCATCATCATCATTATCCCATGGCTGGGAGAACAGTGCCATGTGGATATGAGATTCTTCTCTAACATGATGCTCTAACTTTGGAAAGCCTTCCTCTGCCACCCTTGTTTGCTTTTATTTTTATTCTGGCATTCAAGATTTAAGCATCCTCTTCTAGCTGTGTCCAGCTGGTCCTTATTTAAACACCTCCCTCTTATGCCTCTCTTCATGTGTTATGGCTATTTTAATCTTTTAAAGTTTTGGTTCTCTTCAGTTCATTTTAGTGTTTTCTCCTATTTATGGACTGCAATCCATCCTGAAAATTAAAAGATTAATGAAAAAGAAAAACAAAACAAAACATAAGATGGGATCGCTTGAAAAAGATTATGGCATCACTATCCTAAAGGTGCTTTTTCAAAAGGCAACAGGACTTTCTTTGTTTTCCTTGAAGATATTTAGCTTTTCATCCAAGAAGCTTCTTCAATTGTGACTGAAGAACTGAACTGAAGAAGCTTCTTGGATGAGAAGCAAAATGTCTTTAAGGAAAAACAAAGAAAGTCCCGTTGCCTCTTGAAAAAGCACCATTGGGACAATCATGACCTGGATGACCGAAATCTCCATAGACATATGACATTACTAATTACTTAGATTTAAATAGTATGAGACACTTTAACAACCATATTGTAGTGGGCAGTGGTGGGATTCAAATATGTGAACAACCGGTTCTCTGTGTGGATGCCGCTTCCGGACATCCATTCTGGGCCTGGGCAACAAAAAATTAGCTACCGGTTCTGCCGAACTGGTGTGAACTGGCTGAATCCCACCACTGGTAGTGGGCTATGGAAATGGCCTTGAAGAAGATATTCAACAATTGTTCAGTAAACAACAGTATAGTCCCCAAAGTGGGGATGGAAGTGAGGACACTCAATAGAGTGTTAGTAAAATTTGGAGACTCTTTCTTGACATGGCCTACTTCGAAGGGTTTTAGACACTCCCAATAGTACTTTTTCCAAAAGGCAACTGGACTTTGTTTTTTTTCCCTTTGAAAACATTTCGCTTCTCATCCAAGAAGCTTCTTCGGTTCGTTGATGAGAAGCAAAATGTTTTCAAAGGGAAAAATACCCCAATAAAGTCCAGTTGCTTTTTGGAAAAAGCATCTTTGGGATAACCATGACCTGGATGATTGGGAATCTCCATAGACATTTTACATACTCATTGGTTCCCTAAAAATAAAGCACATAAAGAAAAAACATCAATTAATTTGTAGGATTTTTTTTTTACTTTAGAAATCACTAGCTTCCAAATGATGAGATCAGCAATACAAGTGTATTCAAACTGTCTTTAAAAGAAAAATAAACTAGTATTCCTAACCGAGCATTATGAGACCTCAGGCAGGAACTGTAATTGAGTTTCAATGAACTGAGAAATTTGCATCCCTGTATAAAACTATTTTTTAAAATCGCTTTAGGATTTCTGAAGTCGTGCTATTTTCTGACTCTTCCCTGCAGCCCTTACAAATGCATTGTTAGCAGCCCAGTTGTGTGACAGGCTCATGGACCTAACCAGGGCTTGTGGTCCTACACAGACATACGCAACCTGGCATGTGCAGTCCATTCATGGCAAAGTTTTTCACACTCAATCAGACTTTTAGTTAAGGCAAGAAACCGCAGAGCCTTGGGAAGAAAGTCCATCCGAAGTATTTCTCCATTGGCAACAGACCTTGGCTGATGAATTAAGCAGCCAGCATTGCAATGCTCATTGCAAATACGTATCAGCCTGCCTTCTCTTGGCAATGCCTAACCTGACATAGCAAAATAACACAGTTCCCTTTAGGTGCCGGATCAAATGATAGGACCTGTTTTCATAGGAATTTCCTGGGATAATGAAATGCTCTCCCCCCTAAAAAGCTCTTTTGATGCTTCCAAAAGCCTATCAGAAGATTCTCCTTGGCTTTCCAGTTTTGCATAGTTGAGTAGGTCAATGTGGTCCAGCCTAGGCCAGCTCCTATGTTTCCTTTCTATGCTTGGTGCCACCAATGCCGTTCTTGGCTGGCCAAGATCCAAGGATTTAGAATGACCTGAATTTGGGAACACTCTCTTTGCACATTCATGAAATTTATCCACCAAGTTGCCTGAGTGGGGTGTGCTATCCATATCAATAACTATGTGGCTGCCTTTAAGTGTGTCCTTCCTGGGCACAATGAGGTTGCATCCAGGCAGAAGAGTCCATGAGAGTCTCTGTACCTCCTCCCTCTCCTCTGGCAACCTACAATTGCCTTCCAAGTCCTGGATACCCACCCGGGAAACACACTGCTTTTCAAGAAGACAGTTATTAAGCTTAATGAGAGGCAAAGGCAGGGCATTGACAGCTGTAGAGAGGACCGACTCTGCTCCGCGAGCAAAGGAGAAGGCTCCATTCTCTGGCAGGGTGTTGCTGCAGTCAGAATGGATGCTCAAGTGGGACAGCGAAGGTGAGAGGCTCTTGTGATGAAAGAACTGGGTCGTGGTTTGGAGCCTGCTGGAATTGCAGCTATTGACCCATTTCTTCACAGGGCTGGAGCAAGATTGGAAGCCACTGGAAGAAAGATCCACCTCGTAGTAGCCTTCTACACATTCAGCATTGGCCCTGAGGGTAGATGAAGTGGTCCTTCTCCTCTGAAAGTAATCACTTGTTGGTCCCGTGTCCTGTGGGAAATTCAGGCCCATGGAATAGAGTTCCTGCTGCATCAACAAGCGAGTTTCCATATCTCTGTTTTCGTACAGCAAAGTATTAGCACAGATGAAGATGAAGAGTCCCACACCCATGACAACTGGTCCAATGAGCTTCAATTTCTCACTGTGAAGGAAGGGGTGGGCTTGGGGAGAAACCTTAATTTCCTTCCTGATGTCTCCTGCAACACTAGAGTTCCCTGGTCTACCACTTCCAGACTTTGTACGGTGAGGCCAATATCCAATCACAGCAATGGTCATTCCCACTAAGACCACCGAGATCCCCACCATCACGAAGACTCCTGAGGGCGAGCGCATCCGAAGCTGTCCCTTCACCACCATCTGCGGGGAGGGCTTGCGCCGAAACCTGCCCCTGTGCCATCGGGAAGGACCGGAGGATCCTGATGTTTTCTTCTCCGAGGTGTTATGGGTCTTCATGGCTTTGGCAACTTCAGTTATACTGTCAGTTCCTCTTAGATTGTCCACAGGTCATCTTAACAATAGTGAGAGAGGGAGAAAGAAAAGGGTTAAGCAGAACAGAACATAAACTAATAGGTTCAAGGTCTTCTAGTCCAACCCTTTGCCTAAGGCAGGAGACCTTATTCCATGCTGGACAACATGAATGTAGTTGGAAGGCTGCAATTCATCTAGAAAGTAAGGCAGGGGTCTTCAAACGTGGCCCTTTAATGACTTGTGGACTTCAACTTCCAGAATTCCTCAGCCAGTGTGCCTGACTAAGGAATTCTGGGAGTTGAAGTCCACAAGTCATAAAAGGGCTAAGTTTGAAGACCCCTGAAGTAAGGGCTTTCCTTACCAACAGGCAGCTCCACTTCTAAGTTCCACTACTGACTCAGATAGGGTTATACACAGAGCTGCTCTCATCTTTTACAATGTAGAACTTCTTCCAGTTATGTTGATAAGAAACCAGAGGCATGGGCTTCCGGTTCCGGTTCGCGGCGTCCCTAGTGTTGGCTAGTTTTCCCTCCACCGGTAGACCCTTATGCGGGTCGAAAGTCGCCCTGGAGGGTGCGACTTCTGTTGACAAGACTTCGCTCGGCTGTGAAGGAGCGGTGGCTCCTCCAACTGTCCGAGCTTTATCTGAGGGCTGACGGCCAGCTGCTTCAAACTGCAAGTCAAAGAACATCTAAGCATTGAAAAACCACCGTGGTGAATCCGGGTGAGGCTTTTTTTTGGCTCCTCTCTTTACTTTTTTTTTTGCCTGTAAGAATTTTCTTAGAACTATTTCCCTGTCTTGGAAAAGCAGCTTCTATGTGTTTGGGAAGAAAGGCGTGGAACAAAAGAATAGAATAAAATTTTAGAGACTATATTTTGTTTCATCTGCTTTTGGGGTACAGAAAAAACGCTTTTTTAAGAGCTGTACTATCACTTTATGCTGGAAGATTATTTCTTTTTTCACATTATATCTTAAAAGATTGGAAAAAAGAGGGGAAAAATGGTGTCTGGAAAAGATTTTTTTTAATCTATTGAGGACATCTAGTGGCGAAAACCTAATATTGCAACTTCTGATTTCTCTTTGTGGAATAGACCTGACCTTCAAATTTTTTCAAGAGAAAAGTTAAACTGATGTACCAGTGGGACTTGTGGGGGTGAATACTGCTCAACTTTTATTAAATACAGCCTCCACAAAAAAAAGGACAAAAAAGAAAAAAAAGAGACTCTCTTTAATTACTATCAATATGGAAAACGTTCAGTTACAATTAAACTGCAAACTTATATTGGAAAAGATTTATGAAGCCACTGCAGAAATATGTGCTACAATAAAAGAGTTTACTACAGAGTTAAGAAGCAGAAGTTCCACTTCAAACCTTCAAACTGGTTTCCAGACCATATCTGACCATTCTACAAATCAAAACTTACTAGAAGAGAAAACAACTGAGATAAAAGAGATTTCACCTTATAAACATGTCATTTATAGTTTTGAGGATCAGAAGAACCAAAGATTAAGACTTGAGACTTTAAAGCAATGAAGCTCCAAGGATGAGAGAAACAGAGGCCTAATACAGAGAATGGGATTCCTATCGTTTCAAAGGACACTGCAAGCAATAAAGAGAGATTTATTGGTGGAAAGGGAAGCTTGGATATGGAAACCTGCTTGGCATAGAAGGAAGGCCAGAATAAGACTGAAAAGAGAAATTTAAAATGATGTGTAATGGATTAAAAGGCACTGTTGAGTTCAAGGATTAAGACTCAGACTTAGAAATAAGAAAGAAAGAAAAAATAGGGGGGTGACTATTAGAATAGATATTTTAAAATAGATTAAGAATGTAATGGGTGGAATAATAGGTTCATTTTGATGAAAATTATTATGTATTGGAATGGAAAAAATGGTGGTTTTTAGATTTGGATTGTTCTAATAATTGAGTGTTTTAAATTAGTGGATGATGCTTTTGTATGATAATATAGATGTGATAAGGTATGATAATTAATTGAATGAAATTTGAAATTTGTTTGATGAACTGAAACGATTTAAAGCTTAATATTACTGTGTTACTTTAAACAATAACAATAATAATAATGGATTAAAGGTAATCTAGAATACCAAGAATGTATTTTTTAGAACAAGAGATTTATTTGTATGAAAACTATTATGTAATGGAATGAAGAAAATTCAAGAGATGTTTTAGATTTGGACTGGATTAATAACTATCTGAGTTAATTTAATAAGATGATGTGTTTTGTTTGATGACATGGATGTTATTAGTTATGATAATTAATTGGTTGAAATTTGAATTCTGTCTAATGGATTGAAATGATTTAAAGTCTGATATTATTTTGTCAGCTTAAAGAGATTGATTAACTGATGGATTAGATATGTATAGAGATTGATAGTTTATTTTAAATAGGGGATATTAGTGGAAGAAGAAATAAATAAGATTTATGATAAAATTAAGGAACTAGAATATATTTGGAAGGGATACCTGAATTGATAATCTTTTTATTTAAGGTTAATTTGATTACGGTACTGTAAATTTATAAAGCTTTAAAACAGGTCTAGGTTGAATAAATTTAAGCTAGAACTGGATTATTTTAAATATACTATGCTACTTGAGGGACAAAGAGAGGGAATATTTGATGTATTGATTGAACTATCTATATATGTTTTGTTTTTGGATGTTTGACTACCCTAACACCACGGTGTGTCTTGAGTACTTTGTTTCAATAATTAAAAAACCTAATAAAATTTGTTTCAAAAAAAAGAAAAGAAACCAGAGGCATGTGTTCTTTGCATAACACAGTAAACTAGCCTTCAGAAGCCTTCGAATCCGAGAGAAAGGATAGCTAAGCTCTAATCAACAACCAACTTTTAGTGAATTAGCAGGCTAGATTGGGGCTTGAGAACCTCAATTTCAAATCCTGATCCAAACCTAACCCTTCATGGCCAGCTTAGCTAACCTAGGGGGAAATGCTTTCTAAATTTGGCAATTAATTTATCCTAGTAGAAAGATCCATCCATACTTTATTGGGGGTGTGAAAATATGTCCTTGAAAGCCCATTTTCTATTGTGGGTGTCCCATAAATCTTCTTTGTGGTCTTCCACATCATCTTTGCTCCTTGTAGGCTTTGGAGGCCAAAACAGTTGCTGTTTTGCATTATCTCAGTTCTTTGTATCTATCCTAAATTTTAAAAAAATGGGTCTGAGCTCAAGGTGAGTTGCAGCCTGCCACGTTGCTAGAAACATGATTTAAAATTAATCAACAATTGACTGAGCATGCAAGCAAATCCAACATAAATTCTTTGTTTTCATTTAATCATTTTAAGGTATTATCTGTCTCTGGAAAAAGACATTAAGTGAACAAGCTTTACAATGACAAATGTGTTCTTGTCCCAAACTGTCAAATTCTGACATCAAGAGAAATTATTGGAAGAAAGAGAAATAAAGGGATTTTAAAAAGTTCCAAAAGGTGAATCTACCAACATTATGTAAACCCTAAAGATATAAAGAAATACAGATGTAGCTATAGATCTATTATCTCGCATATACCAGATATTTCATAAACAAATACATTTTGGTTGCTGCCTAATTGCTTTTATTCCCTAAATAGCCTATCTATTTAATTAATATTTCCAATATTTCCAATCTGACAAATTACATAGGTAGTTCGCAGTTGTTTAGTAATCGTTCAAACTTACACCGGCACTGAAAAAAGTGACTGATGACCATTTTTCACACTGCAACCGTTACAGCACGGTCACATGATCAAAATTCGGTCACTTGGCAACTGGCTCATATTTATGATGGTTGCAGTGTCCCAGGATCACGTGTTCACTTTTTGCAACCTTCTGAGTAGCAAAGTCTATGGGGAAGTTAGATTCACTTTACAACCGTGTTACTAACTTAACATCTGAATCCTGGATCTCCTAACATAGGCATCAACATCACAGAGAAGAATTTCTGGAATGAGATGTCTTTCTTGAACTTTCCAAGAACTCAAACTCTCAGCTAAAAAAAATCCGTACATTCAAAGTTCCAAGATGTCAGTTTAAGAATTTAATATTATGCAAATAATCTAATCAATCACAGTTCCTAAACAACCACTTGAGACACTTTGGTTGTTCAGCTCATGAAAAGAGAACTAGAAACATCCCAAGATGCCTTACCCAGGTTACAAACCAAATGTAACTCAAGTCCCTAGCAAAACGGTTGACTGAAAATCACCTTGAGCTCCTGCCTTGTATCACCAGACCCACTTTTTAAAATAGGACAGATACAATGGCCTGGTTTAGAGATAATGAAGGCCAGTGCTAAAGCAAACTGAAGGTCTACCCCAAGAGAAGACTAGGCAAGTTCTTGGAGCTTCTGGATCCTCCTCCTGCAGTCTGGAGGAGGTCTTGTGAGTGTATTCACACAACAGTTGCAGTGAAGAATGCTCTGCAACACCCCACCTGGTCACATGGAACAGTGGTCTGCAGGGACTACCTCTTTAAGAATGCCTGCATCCCACCATTCAGGTTGTCTTCCTTTAACCCAGACAGCTCAACACGGTTTCCAATCAAATGCCTCTGGGAAGTAGGTCATGCATTCAACTATAATCTCCTATAGTTCCTCAGCAACTGGAGGAGATATAGGAAGGCATATGACACACTGAAGGGTAAAGTGTAATTAAGAATATGCATTAACCACACACATAGCATCTCCTGGGAACCACCTTAAATCAAGCACATCTTTTCCTGGAGTCCTGCACTGTGGACCAGTCAAACAAATCCAGAAAAGATGCAGCTACTTTACTGGGTGTGCAGTGGCCTAGAAGTTAAGGTTGGTAGTTGAAGACCCAAGCACCGGATGATGGAGTGAGTTCCCATTTCTTGCCCCAGCTCCTGCCAACTTAGCAGTTGAAAGCATGCAAATGCGAGTATATAAATAAGTACCACTTTGGTGGGAACATAATAGTGTTCCATGTGACTCGGTATATATTGTATTCATGGCAGCCACATGACCACAGAAGCATCTTTGGACAACTCTGGCTCC